AAGGTGCGACTGATGCTCTTCAGAAGAGCTTGACGCGACACAGATGTTGTCGAGGTAGATGAAAATATTTTCGAAGCCGCGAAAAACTTCGTTTATAACTCTTTGGAAGGTTTGCGCTGCATTGCGCAACCCAAAGGTCATATGCGTAAACTCATATAAGCCAAACGGTGTAGTAATGGCTGTCTTGGGTACGTCATCCGGGTGGATTTTAATTTGATGGAACGCCTTCCTCAAGTCAATTTTTGAGAAAACTGTTTTACCTGCTAGTATATGAACAAAATCGTGGAGGAACGGCAGGGGGTATCGATCCGGGATGGTCACAGCGTTGAGTGCGCGGTAGTCCCCACATGGCCGCCAAGAGCCATCCGCCTTGCGCACCATATGTAGGGGGCTCGCCCAATCGCTACTGGATGGCCGACAAATACCAAGTTTCATTAATAGTTCGAATTCTGCGCGGGCGGCCACCAGTTTCTGCGGGGAGAGCCTTTGCGGTCTAGCATAAACAGGTTGAGCGGTGGTGATAATACGATGAACCACTGTCGAAGGACTCGTTGCGTCTGGAGCTGGTGGCCGAGTTATGTCGGTGAACTCTTTCAACAGATTTGAAAAGTCAATGCTTGATTTTATGGTTGAAATGTTGGTTGTGTTGAGTAGCCCCACTGTACAAACCGTTTTCAGCGCTGTCTTCCGATCAAGTAGACGGCGCCCGTTAAGGTCTGGTAGAAGATCGAAGTGCGACAAAAAATCGGCGCCAATAATTGCTTAGGTCACGTCCGCGATGACGAATTTCCACACGAATTCTCTACGCAGGTTGAGGTTGAGTTTTAACAAAACCTCGCCAAATACTTGAATCGGCAAGCCATTAGCAGCAAACAGGTATGTATCCGATGTTGAAACTCGAGCCAGCGTCGAGCTCTTGGGTATGGTTGACACGTCTGCACCGGAGTCAATTAAAAAGTGGATCTGAGTTGATGTGTCAAAGATGTGTAGACGGCGGTTCGATGGCATTTCAGATTGTTTGCCGGTATCTAAAATGCCGCTGGCTGAGCATTGCTATTGGGCGTTATTCGCTGTTGGCTGCCCGTACTTACATGGCTGCCTACATTTTCGGGCGTTGCGGCCGAACTTGGAGTGATACCAACACAAATCGCTAGCACCGCCACTACTGGCATCTCGGTTGCGTGCCGGAGTCCTAGATCTGGGGCGACGCGCCTTCCTGCCGTTTGCAACCTCGTCGAAGCGTTGTCTAAGCGCAGCTACCTCGGCTCGCAAGTCTGCCTCAGAGGTGTGTGGTGGATTGCTTACCTCGTGCACCTGCCCTTCACGCAACTGAAATGACTCGCAGATAGAGTCAGCGATTTTTAATTTATCTACCGTTGGTACGTTGGTGGCGATGATGGCTGCCTGCGCGTAGAGTGGCAAGCAACTGAGCCATAAGTCATGTAAAATACTATCGCTCAAGGTAGTCCCGGCGGCGCGCTTCATCTCGTTGAAGAGGTCGCTTGGG